AACACAACCACACGGCGGGTCTGCAGGGGACGGAGAGAAAGTCACCCCCTTGGATGGCACCCATCGAAGCTGGGCGTGGTTTCCACGCCTGTTGTGTTCGATCGCATGGCGGGGGGGACTGGGGGTGTGCGGACTTTTCAAATCACACCTGGGAAACTTTTCCAGAAGAGATTGGGCTGTCATCTGTCAGAAATGGAGTAGGGTCTCCTCCTTGGGCGGGGGGTTGGACTAGATGACCTCCAAGGTCCCTTCCAACTCTTGATTATCAAAATCAAATCAAACACATCGAACACAACCCACTCCCCAAAGGAACGCAGGGGGGCACAAACGGAAGCCCCCCCAAAGCTGCCCTGGCAAAGCAGTCCTTTCAGTAACCCCTCCCCTGCCCACTTTGGAAGACCCTTCCCCAAATGCGAGAGAAGAGAAGAGGGGCTTAGGGAAAAGACCCCCCCAGCCCTCCCCAGGAATTAGGGGAAGCAGAGCCTGCTCTTTCCGAAGAGGGTTGCCCACCGAGCAATTTTGGGGGTCCCTAGAGGTTTGGAGGGGGGGAGGAAAAGTCCAATGACAATTGTTGGAGAAAGCAGGTTTTCTATTCACTCCCCCCCCCCCTTCACATCATACCTGGTTCCAGAGCCCTTTTGCAACAGCGGGATCCCCCTCCCCTTGTCCCACCGAGACGGCAAAGGGGGAGGGTCCCACCAGGAGAGACCCTCCCGACAGAGTCTTTGGCAGCCCTCCCCCCCCTCCCTCGGTCACCCCTGGGAGAAGGACCGAGCCCCAAACGGCGAGCCAAAGAAATGGGTCTGGGGTCTTGGCCCAAGGATGTTGGGATCTGGGAATGAGGGGGGGGGGACCTGGGGGTCGGAGTTCCCACAATTCCTGCTGATCTTCAGCACCCCATTCTTGAGTGGGGGGGGGAGGGGGAGTAGAGTTCTCACCCAAACGAGCCCCCCCCCAAGCAAGAGGGGGACTTCCTCGAACAATAGGGAGGGGGGAGACCCTCAACTGCCCGGCAGCTGCGGAGGGAGGGGCGCTGCCTCCAGAGTCCGGGGGGGGGGACATCCTAGGGGGGAGTCGAGGGGAAAAAGCTTCAGCTAGTCGGTCCCAGAGGCCGGTTCTGCCGAGTCCAGTCCGGCTGCCACCTGGCAAGTCGAGGCTCCCGGGCCCCCATCGGGAGGGGGAGTGGGGGGGGGGCGCGCCGCATCAGGCCCCCCCGCTGTAGGAGTAGTCGGCCTTGTTGTGCATCACCAGCTTGTTGTCCACAAAGTAGAAACTGTCCGACTGCGTCTCGTAGGGGTGCCGGACCATCTCCTGGACTGGGAGAGAGAAGCGGGGGGGGGGTCAGCTTGACCGGAGGCAGCCCGAACCCAAAGCACGCCAGGACCTGCCCCCCTCCCCTGCCCCTCCCCCGCTCACTGAGGTCCTCGGAGAGCTGGGGGAACTCGTAGATGTGCTCGCAGGTGTTCTTGGAGGAGGGGATGCAGAAGCCGAACTGGAAGTCGAAGCTCTTGAGCAGCTGGTCCCGGAAGTAGTGCCTCTCGATCATGCGGAAGTGGCTGATGGGCTTCTCCCCCACGGTGAACTCCACCCTGCGGAGGGAGGGAAGGGAGGGAGGGAGGAAGGAGGGAGCGTGGGTGTGAGGAAAAGAGGGGGAGTGGAGGGGAAGCAGGGAGGGAGGAAAAGAGGGAGGAGGGAGGGAGGGAATAAAAGAGAGGGAGGGGAAGCAGGGAGGGAGGGAGGGAGGGAGGGAGGGGGAGGGAGAAGAATAGAGAGAGGGAGAAAAGAAGAGACGGGCTCTCATTCCCAGCACCAACCAAGCCGGGATTAACTCCCACCGTTGCCCCTAGTTTGCACATCCCCTCCAGATCCTACAGTTTGCAATCCCTGGCAGGGATTGGCTCCACGGCAGCACTCGCATTCAGAGCCGGGGTTGGGCCCTGCCTGGAATGGGGGGCTGGGGGCCGGTCTACAGAGGGAAACTCTCATCCGTCCTTCCGAAACGTTGCCAGGCAGCCCAACTCCCCCCCCCGGCCCAGAATCCCCCTGAGCGCGAAAGAGGGCCAACCCATGGCGAGTGCACAGATCCCACCTGGGAATGATGGGAACTGTAGTCCAGGACTCCTGGAAGGCACCGTGGCCCAGAAAGTGGGGGGTTGCCCCACCCCTGGAGGTTTTTCAGGGAGAGACTGGAGGCAGCCATTCGTCTGGACCGGTCTGGGGTTGGGCTAGATGACCTCGGAGGGCTCCTTCCAAGGGTGCAGGGGCAGGTGGGATAAAGCCAAACCCTCCCTTTCCACCCAGCACTTACGTGGCTCCCACTTGCCGCAACCGCAGGAACGCCGGGGTGAACTGGTAGCGCACGAAGCGCCCGGCGTTGGGGTCGCCCTCCTTCTTCCCGCCACGCTCCCGTTCTGGCAGGAGGCAAGAAGAGACGAAGGCCGGTTGCCCCGTGGCTGGAGGGGGCCCCCACCCTGCACGCCCCCCTTTTGGAAGGCCATCCTGGCACGGGCCTCGCCCAGCCGATCTGCACCCACCCAACACACACACACACACACCGCCTGCACAAGGGATGCCCTGGCATGGCGGGACTGGCACGGCTTCTTGGTGGCACCGGAGACGGAGCCCAGCAGGGTGGAATGAGGGTCTAAGCCAGGGCAGTGCGACCATGGGCACTGGGCAACTCCTCCCATTCTCCCTCCTTTCTCTCTTTCCTTCCTCTCCTCTCTCCCTCCCTCCTTTCCTCTCTCCCTCCCCTTCTTTCCTTCTTTCTTTTTTGTCCTCTTGCCCCCTCCTTCCTCCCCCCCCCCCCCCTTCTTCCTTCCTTCCCTTCCTCCATTCCCCTCCACTCCTCCCTCTCTCCCATCTTCTTTCCTCCCTCCCTCTCCTTCTTTCCTCCCATCCACCTCTTATCCTTCCTCTCTTCCTCACCTTCCTGCCCTCCTCTCCTTCCTTCCTTCTTTCCTTCCTTCCTCCCTCCCTCCCTGCCCTGGCCTAAGAGACCCACAGCCCCGATGGGGCATGGAAGAGCCCCCCATTAACCAGGATCAGCCGCTCTGGCTACCAATGTTGGGGTCCCAGGGGCAAAACTTTTTTTCCCATCTGTCCTATTTGACCCACTCAACATTTATTGCTTGAAGGAAAAACCAGCAAGGAAAAATAACCCTCCTTTTCCCACCCAAAATACATCCAAGGCCACTCTCTCTGCCACAATCCTCCCCATGTGGCCAGCACAGGTCATCCTCCAC